CTTTGCTGGCCTTTCTGGGGTTCCCTGTTGGTACCACGGGGCACTTCCTTAAAACCAGTACTGTACCAGAAAACTGAGGGTCCCAGTTCTGGTCCCACCACCTTCCAAGTGTTTGCCATGTGGCAGGCTTTGTTCTGGCTCAGTTTCCAGTTGGAAAGTGGAATTCTAGAGATCCAGATGAACACATCCATCTCAGGAGGCATGGAGGGAAAAGACGTATGTATTGAAGTTTTTTTTTTGTTTTTTTTTTAATGTGACTTTTTTTTTATTCAATGTTCAAACTAATAAATATTTTTTTATGAAGAAAATGTGTAGATTACATTTCACATTTTGTATTTTGTGTGTGTGTGTCTGTATTTTGGTGTTTGTAACACCAGAGTGGAAAATATATTCCATGGGGTGGGTGGTGTTAGGGTTGAGGTGGGAAAACAATATGATTTTTGTACGGGTCTCTGAATCCTGACCAGTTTGCATATTTGAACTCTGAGTTTTGGGGAACAGGACACTCCTAGGACTTGACAGGGACCTAACTCAAAAGACACAGTTATGTTTCCAATTTTTCACATTTTCCTTTTTAAAAAACCTGAGGAAATACAAAACTGGAACTTTTTGCAATATTATGAAAGATAATCTTACTTTGGCTCATCCTATGATATGTACAACTCCTAAGAAAGCCATAATGGTGGTATTATTTTTTAGATTCTATTGTGTTTGTATGTGGCTCTTTTAGAATCACTTGTAGTGAGGGTGCTGTGTGTGTGCTTTTCTTATTTATTTATTTTTTAACATGCTTTCAATCTGTCAACAAAAAGTAAAAAAAAATGCAGTGTTTGAAGATGGTTGATTTTTTTTCTGGGGATAATCTATATTATATTGACTTTATATTAATTATTATAAACCTGTGTTTGTACTGAAGATGTGTTTAATATTTGCAGAAGGCTTGTCATAATCAGTTGGTGGGGTTCACAACACCCACAGAGAAGTAAAGATTACCTTCTCTCTAGCGGTTCTTGCGATTCCTTGTCTGCCTCGGTGTACCAGGTTGCCTGTGGGTTTTCTTTCTGTGATGGGATTAGTGTAGACATTCTTGCAAAGCGATCACTTTAAATAAAATGGGAAATTGCTGCTCCATGCAGACGCCTCCTGTGTGGTTTAAATAGTACCCTTCCTTGGACCCCAACCTGAATGGAGCTAGCCCCCAGCCCCTATGCTTATCATTCATTTCCCATTTTTCTCCTAGTTCCACTTCTTTCCCCAGGAGATAACATTGGTATCTGGAAAACAAACAACCCCCACAGTTTTTAATTTTTCTGTGGTATGACCCAGACACAAGACACCTGAGCTTAATTAACATGGAAAAATGTCAGCCCCAGTCTGGCCAGGAAAACTATCTTTAAATGTGGGCAGGAGAGTCCTCCCTCTGACACCCCCCAGAGGGCAACTTAAACAGGCTCTAGCAGAGCCCACTGACATCTTTGACGAGTCTGTGAGTGACAGACAGGGAGCCAAGCTGCCCCTGGGGCCAAAAGGACAGCGTGCAGTTAGGGTTTAGTGCAGAAATGCTGGTTTCTTCCAGGGTACTCTGAGTACTCGTCAGTCCTCCACCTCTAGGAGCCAAGGCCATCAAATCCACCACAGGTTTGCTGTAGCTTCAGGCTGGAGTGGGAGAAAGGCCAGGCAGCTGCGTCATGGATGGGCTCAGTCCAGGAAGTGCTGGCAGGCTGTGCACCACAGGTCCCTGTGGTCCCTACAGTACATTTTCTGGCACTCCTTGGCATCACCCCAGGGCTTCCTGGAGGGCCCGTGTAGGGGGCATGGAGACTTGTCAGCTAAGACCTTTACTGCCTAGTACATCCCAGACCCTCAAACAACACGTACCTTGGGTTGGCCCCAAGCTCGGCAGGCAGGGCTGGTATGTAGGCCTGGGCCTCAGTGGGCTGTGGCTCCAGGTGGATGGGGGCCCACCAGCTCTGAAAGGAGCCACAACCCCTTTGTATCTCTCTAGAGCACTCTGAGACCTGCCGCCAATGTCCATCTGTGGCCTCACCTTGCTGGTAGGCTTGGTCACTGGCATACCTGTGGAACAGCTGAAGAGCTGAGCTTGGGAAATGGAAACACAGTTAGGGGCTGTAGCAGGTTGGGAAGAGCTCCATATGAGCAAAGGTGAGTGGGGTGGAGACTGCAGGAGACCCTGGGTCAGTAGTAGTCCTCCTCCCCTTCACTCTGCTCTGGCTCCGCCTGTCTCCTGCCAGGAACAGAGTTGTCAGGCCTGATCCCACCCTAGCCAAACCCCCAGTCCCACTGCACCGCAGGTGCACCAGGTGGGTGTGTTTCTCCATCCCCGATGGAGATGCTGTACTCGGCACCTTTCCACCTCTCTTCCGCAGACACTGGAACGTGACCTGAATAAAGCCCTGGAGTGATGGGAGCCCAGGTCAACAGTCACCACCCAGCCCAGCCTACCCCCGCTGTTGCTTCTGCTGCTGCTGTAGCTGCCTGAGAGATGAACCAGGGCCTCCTTCCATGTCTGCAGGGACATTGCACTTAGGAGCTCCGAAGACTCAAGCTACTTTGCAGATAATGCTCCTGCTGGTTCTCTCCAAGTCCCTGATTTTGAGTTGCCACCTGTTCAGGTGAGCCTTGTGGAGCAGGGGCGCCTAGGAGAATTTGGCCTTGGAGACTTGGAGAGAAGCTTCGCTAGCCGAGGAAAGGCAGGAGTGCTTGCTGCATGGCCAGGAAGCAGCATGGCCAGCAAAGTGGAGGTGCAGTTTTGGCCTCAGTGAAGGGCACTCAGGGTCCAGGTGTCTCTTAGAGAACTTGAGACAAGCTTAGAAAGTGCATATTAGGTTTGGGGGCATTGCTTGCCCCATAGAGAGGCTTGGTGGCTTCAGTATCCCGGAATAGCAGAAGTTCTGGACCCTGTCCATAGTTGGGCATAGATTTCTGAATCTCACCTGGGCTGCTGAAGGTGACAGAGGGGCTGGTAGACAGGCTCGTAAGGGCTGTAACAGCCATGACCTCTTCCAGCTGGGCTTTTCCTGGGGGGGTTCTGGAGATGAGGTCAGGGGTCAACAAGTGCTCTAGGCCCCTCCCCAGGTCCCCGCACACATTTGCAGCCTGGACACATGTGGGCATCAGGCTGCAACACTCCACGTTCTGGGTAGGAGGCCTGGCTTCACCCCCAGCTCAGGTTGCAGAGCTGGAAATCCAGGAACTATAGAACAGGATCGGGATCCACGAAAGGCCCGAGTTCTCCATAACTTGGGCTTTGTTCCGCAATGGCTCCTTCAGACCCTGGTGTTGAGCAGAGGTCCGGCCCACTAGAAGGGGTGAGGCCAGCTATGGCTCAGACCTTTCTGCTAACACACATTAACCATGGTTGCGCAATAGCAACCGTAGGTCAAGTGCCAGGGGAGGGTTGGGTGGGCTAGGAGGGCGGAGCAGCAAGCCTTTGGCAGCAGTTAGGGAGATTGTGCTCTAAGCACAGGCTGGTCCCCAGGCCCTGGGGGGGCTGAATAGTCAGCCCCTGGTGCACTGTCAGGAGTATAGAGCTGGCAAGTGGGGAGGTGGAACCTGGGGACCCTGACTTGTTCTCCACTGAAGTCTTCAAAGGCTGCCATCTGTGCCAGCATCCACCTCTCATCAGTCCCACCTCACCTCTTTATTGGCACCGGGATGTGCAAAGAAGGCACTGGGAGCCGTGTTGAGGCTCAAGAATTGGTTCCCGAGGCTTCATAGCCTAAGGTTCCTGTGGCTCTGAGAACTCCAAGCCTGCAAGGTCACCACCTATAGAAGGACCCTGAAAATGGGGGTGGGAGGGCTCCGTGGAAGAGTTGGCCTGGAGACCCCAGACTCTACCTCAACTCTGCTTAGTGTCCCGCTACCACACCAGATGCAGCTAGTGTGTACCGCATGGCCCCGCCCTAGCCCCGCCCCCTGCTCCCGTGGCGGGAAGCCTTTGCTTGGTCTGTCAGTTTTGCTTGGCTTGGGATGGGGGTGTGGGCACACGCAGGGACACACTCACATGCCGATGCAACACTTCCAGCTGCCACGCCTTCAGGGCCCAAAGTTTGTATAGACCCGATGCCCGTCTTTGCAGGGAAAAAAAATTGGCAGTCCCCCTGCCCACCGGTACCTGCGGTGGCGTGGCACTCTGACTCAGACCCTCCGCACTCAGGCACTGAGTCGTGATCTGCAGCCCACTGGATCTGGGGAGGCTACGGACGGACTAGGTCCTGACCCTCGGAGTGGGGCGGGTGACTTTCACAGACTCGCCAGACCCAGTTCCTGGGCGCACTCAGCCTCCACGGGCGTCCGGAAGCCTACGTTACAGAATTAAGGCTAGACTTAGCCTGATTGGGCCCCAAATCAGGGCCAGGTCGGTCGACCTCCACCAGGGATCCGACCTCGACCCGCGCCATGCCACTGCCACCGAAGCTGCTTGACTACATCCCCCTACGAGCTCCGCCCCACTGCGCATGCCCATTGGCCCTCACATGGCAAACACCCCAAGTGGTTGAGCTTTGCCTTGCAGGGGCTCCAACTCAGGCTAGTGGAGGGGTCAGCTCAACTCCCGGCTGACAGCCTTGACAGCCTGTGCACGCTGCAGTCCAAGGGCTGGTTTTCACAGCGCACTGAGCTATCAGAGCTGGGAAAGGTCTGCGCCTTCCCGGCCGGCCTCTTGGAAATAGGTTATTCTTTAATACTGTACTGTCTACCTCTGCCTACTTACGTAACCTCAAGGGATGGTGGCACAGGCTCCAGGAGGATCTGAGGTACAGATCCCATACTTTCAACTGACCATGATGTCCCAGACTCTCCAGCCTGGGAAACCTTTCTTCCTGCCCACAGACTCAGGGGCCAGGAAACAAGTATAAGGAAACTCTCCCAAAGATCAGAAAGGGACATCTATAACCCCTTCGGAAAACTCCCACTAGAACCATTCCAGCTTTCAAAAAAAACAAAAAAAGCAACTGAGAGCCAACCTTATATGACAGAGATTTAATTAGGCCACAAGGACTGGACCTGAAATTTGTGCTGTGAGCTGTGGGGGGTGGAAGGACACAGGAGGATCTGCAATCAAACCTTGGTACCCTTACTGTGTCAACGCGTGTTAATAAACAGGATGTGAGGCGCAGATGCTCAGGGGCCCATCTCCCTGATGCTTTCATACACATTTTCTAAGGGATCATGGTTCATATCCCGGCCCCTGAGAGTGATGGCCTCATATTCCACATCACTCCCAAGGGCCACAATTCCTCTCCCACCCTGGGGATCCGGCTGATCTGTGCCAGGTCTTGGGTCTCTCCTTTTAGGCTTGCAGACCCTGGAGTACAGGAGATCCATCTGGAGAGAGGAAGCAAACCCAGGGAGGGCTTGGCATTGTCCTCTGCCAAGGGTGGGTTCAGTCCCATCTGCCCCTTCCCTACCCTACCCAGGCTCACTTTACCTGAGTAGCTGGGATCACCTTAGCCTTCTCCTGCAATTCGTGGTAGCCCTGTTCTGTCTCTTTGCGCTTCTGGATGCAGGCATACTCGGCCCCAGGCCCAAGCTTGGCACAGCTAATGGTCAGCTGTGTTCCAGCCCACACCACAGGGCTGGCAGCCAGGCTGGCCCTGGGAATTGCAGCCAGTCCAACATTGGAGTAAGTGGCCTCAGGGCTAGTTGCAGGGGCAGCAGGAGGGGCCCTGGGCAGCTGCCGAGGTGGGAAGGCAGAGGGGATTACCTGAGACCTGGTGCTGCCCCTGGATACCTCCAGCCAGTGTGGATGTAGGAGATCCATGCTAGCAGGCCGTGGGGCTAGGGATAAGATCAAGGCAGAAGTCACTGAGAGGCTAAGGCAACAGGACTGGCCCCAGTGGGCCAGCCCTACATATATGGCCTCCCAAGGAGCTCACCTATGCTGCAGCGTAGGCCTGGGCGAAGCTCATGCAATCTGGTGTCAGACTTGCTGAGGGAGCGGATGTGGGCCTGTCTCAGTAGTGACTAGGGGTAAGGAAGTCTGGTTGATTCCCTGATGTCCTTGCCCTGACCCCAGGGATAATCTGGCACTCACCATTTCCACTGGTATCAAACTGCCCTGCAGCCCAGTTTGTTGCCTCTGAGCCCGCTTCCTAGGGGCAAGAGTGCCGTTAGTCCAGTGGGCAGAGGAAGGTCCTGGCCCAGGCCCAGCATAGACACACGTGCACAGTCATACGTGGAGGGGGCAGACACAGCCCCAGGCACATACCTGTGGCAGGCTGTGCACAGTGCCCACAGCCAGAGGAGCAGGGAGAAGCACCCCAGGACCCAGAGGGCTAGTGGGGCTAAAGGCACTGGTGGCCTCATCCTGTAAACAGGGAAGGGAGACCTGGGGACAGGAGAGATGAGCTCTGGGGGCTGCCTAAGGGACCAGCACCTGCAGCTCCACTGCAGCCCTCGCCCAGCTGGTGGGTTCTTCCTCCCTGGTTGACTCAGCACACCGGAAACCCCCAGGCTTTGCATCTTTGCCCTGCCCCATGGGCACCCACCTTTCCTTCTCTGGCTAGGGTTCCTGGTTTAAAAAAAAAAAAAAGTGAAGCTCTGTCTACTCCCTTAGTTATTAGAGATGGAGGAACATGGTCAGGGCAGCTATGACCCGGACAAGGCTGTACTCACTGTAACTCAAACCCATCCGCTGGGGAAATCTCTGACATCACTCTGACTTTGAGCCACAGACCACAGACTTCACCTCTGACCACCACTGCCCAGGAGTGACCCCTTGTGTCAGGTGGTGTTTCTAGAGTACTCACTACAGAAGCTAAGCAGTTGGGGGGCTCGTTCAACAGGAGGAGCTGCTACGAAGGCCAAGTATCCCCACCCTATCCCTCCCTTCCCAGGATCCCTGCTTTTCCTGGAGTTGCCCCTAGAAGAGCTGATTAGGTGCTCACCCCAGAGTTCAGGGTGAACAGCCTTCTGAGGTGAGGGCCTGTCTGTTCAAGCTTGGAGTGTAGGCATCTTAGACAACGGGGGCCCAAACTGACTAACCTGGCTACAGCCAAGTCTCAATGGCGTATCCAGGCTGGGTTCATCCCTCCCAGATCCCAGGGCATGGAGAAGTCTGGGGACTGGCCGAGGAGGGAGGACAGGGCAGGCACTTACCAAGGCCACCGTGGGGTTGCTGCTTGGCCCTGTCTAGGACAGCCAGGAAGGTCTCTGTGGGCTGCTGGGGAGCTCCACCTCATTTCCTGTGTCTCTGAGCACCTCCCAGCAGCCACACGGCTCTTGCGCAGTTGCTCCCATGATCTCTGCTCACCTCCTCACACCTCATCCTGGCTGTTGCCATCGAAAGGCAACTATCACAAAACTAGCACCGTGCCCTCCGCCCCGATGGAGGTGGACAGAGCCCACTTAAGTCAGGCCTGCCTGCTTTCATCACAGACAGTGTTCCCCAAAGGTTTCTACCTCACACACCCTACCTGTTTGTGGGTACTGGGCACTGAAGGGCCACTCCATGACCTTACTCACTTGGTCAGAGAAGAGAGAAGAGGAAAAATCTCCTCTCTTGGACTCTTGGACCTTGAACAGAGGCAGCGGCCTCATCTGGGACCCCCCCCCCCCCAGCCTGCCTGTCGGTTGCCAGGACCTACACAGATCCATTTGTTCCCAGAGATCCTGAAGCCAGCTGAGTCTCCAGTGAGAGAAATTATGATGAAATCACTTTAATGTCCTCACTAAGGAGATACCCCAAGACACCGGTAGGTGGGCTCACCCCACATCTACTCAGTAGTGTCCACACACTCTAGGCTGACAAGGCTGAATGAGGCACAGCCTAGGCATGGGCTGGCCCCTCCGTCAGGTGCTCGTCAGGTGTCAGGGTCACAGCTGTCTTTCTGCCAAGGCAGATGCAGTTGAGTCCCAGGGCTCTGTCCACCATACAGGCAGGGCTGCTAGAACTCTGTCATCTTCCTGTGCGTGTCTGCCTTCCGCCGTTCCCTCTGTAGGCCAGCCTCCTGAGCACGCAGCTGACCCAGCTTCCGCTGTGCTCCCTCCAGCTTCTCCTGCAGATGGGCTGCCGTCGTGCTGTGCCTAGGGAGAGCCTGCTGGTCAGCACCGTCTCTTGGCTCCCACACCAGGCCCCCACTTGCTGTGGCTATGCCTGTCCTCTAATACTCAGACCACCTCAGACTCGGGCTACTCAGGTCAGGTGACCTTTAGTGGGCATCCTGTGGGCACAGCCACTAGAGCCCATACTACCTCAGCTGGACCCCAGACATACCGGCCAGCATTCCGGGTTAGGGCCTCCTGGATGCCCCGGATGTCCCGTTGGGTCCGCTCAATCTTCTCCTCAGTCTGGAAGAGCTGCAGGCTCAGAGCCTGCTTGGCACTTTTACTGGCATGATACATGTCCTTGTTCCTTTTCCCTGGAGTGTCCACCCCAGCATCTGGGGTCCCAGGTGCCTGGCTTTGCAGTTTTTCATTCAGAAAGTCAAACACATTCCGAGGGGGTGGGCGGCACTCAGGTCTACCACCACTCCTCCGACATCTTGGAGGCCTATTGGTCCCAGCCTGGCTTCCCTTTGTTTTCTTCTGCAGTATCTCTGTGCACTGGTCCAGTGATTTCCCTCTAGGCAACACTACAGCATGGATGGGCTCCACCCGGCCTTCTGCATGCCGACCCAAACCTGGGAAAGACAGGGCCTTCTGCCACCTCTGCCAGACTTGGACAGGCTGAGGTAAACCTCCCACCTCAGGGCAGCACACACTCACCCTTGCCAAACTCATAGCCCATCTTGACGAGGAGTTTGGAGCCAATGCCTCGTGTGTGTACCTCCCAACCAGCAAAGGCAGAGCTGCAGGTCCCAGTGTCCACTGTGTTTGGTTCCACCACTGCAGGAGAGAGAGGACTCCAAGTAGTGGGTTCTAGCCAACGCTATGCAAGAACTTAGTTCCTAGGTAGGGCTTTGTCTGGTCTTCTGGTCCCCTCAGATTCGGCACACCTGGCAACTCTGCCTTGAGAGATGGCTACACTGTAACCAAGTTCACTGCTTCAGCCTCCTAACTGCCATGATGGATAGGAGTTCAGAAATCACCAATCACAGCACAGCTTCCCTGAGACATCTTCCTACCTTCATCCTAACCCACCAATCAGAGCTCAGAAATCACCAATCACAGCATAGCTTCCCTGAGACATCTTCCTACCTTCATCCTAACCCACCAATCAGAGCTCAGAAATCACCAATCACAGCATAGCTTCCCTGAGACATCTTCCTACCTTCATCCTAACCCACCAATCAGAGCTCAGAAATCACCAATCACAGCATAGCTTCCCTGAGACATCTTCCTACCTTCATCCTAACCCACCAATCAGAGCTCAGAAATCACCAATCACAGCATAGCTTCCCTGAGACATCTTCCTACCTTCATCCTAACCCACCAATCAGAGCTCAGAAATCACCAATCACAGCACAGCTTCCCTGAGACATCTTCCTACCTTCATCCTAACCCACCAATCAGAGCTCAGAAATCACCAATCACAGCACAGCTTCCCTGAGACATCTTCCTACCTTCATCCTAACCCACCAATCAGAAATCACCAATCACAGCACAGCTTCCCCGAGACATCTTCCAACCTTCATCCTAACCCATCTCTCAAGAAAACTATAATTACCTAGTTTTATTTCCTGAAATCTCTATTTTACTTAGACCCATTTTCCATCTGCCAAGATCTCTTCTGACCTACGTACCAGGCACCCAAGTTCTAAATCTGGGAAGCCATCTGAAGAAGACACCCTTCCCTACACTCTACATCCAGTTACTTCCTCTGACTCCTTGGCAGATACAGCACCAACATTCCCTTCTCTCTGACAGTATGGTGCTATCTTGCTTCAGAGAGTTCTGACTGTTGCATATATGATTGCTGTGTCTGTTTCTTAAAGGCAAAAGTTACTCAGGCCCATCACACACTCTCTGGTCTCTCAGGCCATCTCCTGTACATTACTAAGCAAAGCCAGACTCACTTCATCCCGACAGCTGGGTGCCTGTCTGGGTTATTATCACCAATCTGCTCTACGCCCTCGCCATCCTGGCTTCTGGGCACTGATGGTTTCTGCCATACCTCTGGCATAGCTGGAATCACTTGCGTCACCGCTGTCTGAGTCGGATGACTCTGCAGTCTCAGTGCGCAGAGGAGGCAGGATACTGTCCCCCTCCACCACAGTCTCCTTCAGCAGCAGTGAGTCAAACTTGACAGTATAGTAGCCATTGTCCACATCTAGGGTGACAGAGACAGGCTGTAGGTTAGCAGCTTTGCAGGAAGGAAAGGGGCTTGGGGCAAAGGCAGACTTGCTCCTCTTGGGCCCAGATGAAGTAAAAAAACCAACCCAGAGGTGGAGAATGGCTATAAGAACAGGAAGGATGCTTCAGAAAGGTCCTTATAGGCAATCTCACCAGTGATCCGTGCTGGGTGCCAAAGCCCATCCTGGTGCTTGGCCAGACACGCAGAGCCGGTCTGCAGTAAGCTCAAGTCTGGATCCTGGAAGGGACGCAGCTCATCCACAGAGACTACATGCCCATGGGAAAACCTGTAGATACAACCGCAGGAGACAGTGGCTTAGAAATGGCCCAGCAGGAGCAAGCAAGCCAGAAGCACAAAGACTATCAACAGGGAACTGCCTATAATTGAGTGACATTCAAGAAGTCAAGACAGGCACACCAGCAAAAACATCTACATATCCTTCCTCCCTCCCTCCCTCCCTCCCTCTCTCTTCTTCTTCTTCTTGTTTTTTTTTTTTTTTAAGATTTATTATGTACATAGTGTTCTGCCTGCATATATGCCTGCAGGCCAGAAAAGGATACCAGATCTCATTATGGATGGTTGTGAGCCACCATGTGGTTGCTGGGAATTGAACTCAGGACCTCTGGAAGAACAGCCAGTGCTCTTAACTGCTGAGCCATCTCTCCAGCCCCAAACATCTATATTTTCATACCTATAGATTTGTGCACACATTTCTCTCATATACATATACATTCATATACTCACTCACATATGAATATACAGGTACTCTCATACTTGCTCATGCATATACATACACTTATAAATTTATGCTCATATATACCTGTATATCCATATATACAATATCTCTCACACACATGCATATACTACCATTTAGTTACACACAGTAAACACATTTGTATACATGCTTATAAATGCAGAGAATGTACCCACACATGTACATACACTCTCACAACACAAATGCATACAAGGTACTTACAAACATACATATACTCTAAACCACACCACACACACACGTATACACACTGGAATGTTCTCTTAGGACACACAGGGCTACTGTGGGGAGATGGTCTGTGCTTCTCTCTGCTCTCTAGGTTAGGGTGACAATGTGGCAGAGAGCCTTGCGACTACAGTTCACTGCCTCGCACCAAACATGATGCTCTTGACACTAATATTCAAGGCAGATGTGTTAGATGTTGGGATACACTGAGTTCTCCCTAGGCATGGGCACTTGGAAGGACAAGGCAGGGTGATCATGAGTTTGAGGTCAGCCTGGGCTACACAAAGAGATCCTTTCTCAAAAGCTGAAACAAAAACTAGAAGAACTTAGTTACAATAATGGTGCTGTGTCTTTTATGCATCTGTGCACATGTAAAATTAAAACCAAAACCAAATCTGACAGAAAAGGAAGAGGAAATGTGGAGACACAGAAGACTGCAGCCATGAGCTTTGCCAAATAAAGGCATGAAAAAGCTAACCACCAACTACCATTATATGCCATCATTTCAGACAGGAAGAGCAGCTGAGGAGATTCACTTCTCAGCAGTAATGAGTGCGTAGGGAAAGAA